ACATCTGTTTTGAGCTCAGTGAATTTACCAGCTGGTCCCACTGTGAAGATTAGTGGAGTTGGTACTTTGAGACTCAATGATGATATTCTTCTCAAGAATGTTTTATTCATACCTGAATTTCGTCTTAATCTGATGAGTATAAGTTCATTGACAGATGATATTGGTTCAAGAGTGATATTTGATCAACATGCTTGTGAAATTCAGGATCTTATCAAGGGTCGGATGCTTAGTCACGGTAAGAGAGTGGCTAATCTTTATGTCATGGATGTTGAAGATACAAATGTTTCAGTGAATGCAGTTGTGGATATCAGTACGTGGCATAACAGACTCAGTCATGCTTCTCTACAAAGACTGGATGTTATTTCAGAATCATTGGGAAATACTAAACAGAAGAATAAAGGATCAGATTATTGTCATGTTTGTCATCTAGCTAAGCAGAGAAATTTGTCTTTCCCTTCTCAGAATAATGTTTGTAATGAGATTTTTGAGATGTTACACATTGATATTTGAGGGCCTTTCTCAGTTGAAACAGTGGATGGTTATCAATATTTCTTGACAACTATAATAGTTGATGATCATTCTCGTGCAACATGGATTTATTTGCTCAAAACTAAGTCTGAAGTTCTTACAATATTTCCTGATTTCATTCAGCAAGTGGAGAATCAGTATAAGGTTAAAGTGAAAGTTGTAAGATCTGACAATGCTCCATAACTGCGTTTTACACGTTTGTATCAACAAAAAGGGATTATGGCTTTTCATTCTTGTCCAGAGACTCCGTAACAGAACTCGGTTGTAGAACGTAAACATCAACACATTCTTAATGTGGCAAGGGCTCTCATGTTTTAATCTCAGGTACCACTTTCTCTATTGGGTGAATGTGTCTTAACAGCTGTTTTCCTTATCAACAGGACACCTTCACAGCTTCTTTCAAATAAGACTTCTTATGAGATTCTCAATGGTACTGCTCCTCAGTATGGACAACTCAGAACATTTGGTTGCTTTTACAGTTCTACATCACTGAAGCAAAGACATAAGTTTCAGCCTCGATCAAAAGCTTGTATCTTCTTGGGATACCCGTTTGGTTATAAAGGCTATAAACTTATGGATTTGGAGAGTAATGCCATCTTTATTTCCAGAAATGTGGTGTTTCATGAGGAGGTGTTTCCTTTGGCTGGTACTAAGAAGTCAGAAGATTCTCTGAAATTGTGTACGCCATTAGTTCATGTGCCTTCAGGTATTCAACAATCTTCTTTCTCTTCTCTTCCATCACAAATTTCTGATCTACCACCACAAATTTCTTCACAGAGAGTTAGGAAACCTCCTACTCATCTGTCAGATTATGTTTGCAAGAATACGCAATATGATAAAAAAATATCCTATATCTTCTACTATCTCTTACTCTCAAATTTCTCCATCTCACATGTGTTATATCGATAATATCACAAAAATTCCTATTCCCACCAATTTTCCTGAGGCACAGGGCACTAAAGAATGGTGTGAAGCTGTTGATGTTGAGATTGGTGCTATGGAATCTACGAATACATGGGAGATTACTACATTACCAAAGGGTAAGAAGGCAGTGGGTTGTAAATGGGTGTTTACTTTGAAATTTTTGGCAGATGGTAGTCTTGAGAGGTATAAGGCTAGACAATGGTTTAAGAAATTTTCCGCATCTTTAGTCAGTTTGGGATTCTTCAAAACACATGGAGATCACACACTGTTTCTCAAAGATTGTGGAGGTGAGTATGTGGTTGTGTTGGTGTATGTTGATGATATTGTCATTGCTAGTACTAATGAGGCTGCAGCAGTACAATTGAATCAGGAATTACATAATCTTTTCAAGTTAAGAGACCTTGGAGATTTGAAGTATTTTTTGGGTTTGGAAATTGCTAGAACGGAAGTAGGCATCTCATTATGTCAGAGAAAATATGCTTTGGAGTTGTTGGCATCTACTGGTATGATTAACTGCAAACTTGTTTCAGTTCCAATGATTCCAAATGTGAAACTGATGAAAGCTGATGGTGAGTTACTTGAGGATAGAGAACAATATCGTCGTATTGTTGGAAAGTTGATGGATTTGACTATAACTAGGCCGGATATCACTTTTGCGGTGAACATGTCATGTCAATTCTCTTCTACACCTAGGACTACTCATCTTCAAGCTGCTCACAGAGTTCTTCAATATATTAAAGGCATTGTTGGTCAAGGCTTATTCTATTCTGCTTCATCTGATCTTACTCTGAAAGGATTTGCAGATTCAGATTAGGCTTCTTCTACTGATAGTCGTCGCTCTACTACTGGTTTCACTATGTTTGTTGGTGATTCACTCATATCATGGAGATCTAAGAAGCAACATGTTGTTTCTCGATCATCAGCTGAGGCTGAATATATAGTGCTTGCACTTGCTACTTGTGAGTTGATATGGTTACATACATTGCTCGTTTCTTTGACGGCTGCTACTTCAGTTCCTATCTTGTTTTCAAACAGTACAACCGCGATCTATATTGCAATCAATCATGTCTTCCACGAGAGGACAAAGCACATTGAAATTGATTGCCACATCGTGCGAGAAAAGGTAGATGATGGTGAGTTAAAGTTGCTACACGTTCGCACGGAAGATCAAGTAGCTGATATCATGACTAAACCTCTGTTCCCTCACCAATTTGAACATCTTAAGTCCAAGATGAGTATGCTCAACATCTTTGAATCCTCATCTTCAGGGGGCATATCAGAGAGTGTTGTTTATTTATGTGGTTTAGTATGTATTTCGGTTATGTTAATGGGTTGTATAGTCATAGTATATATACTTGTACAAATACATTTTATAGAGTTAATGAGAAAATATCTCCATCAATCTCTAACAAACTCTCTCATCTCTCTCAATCGTAATAGCTTTCGCTTCCGCGTACCCGCTTCCGATTCCATGCAGCTTAGATATGGGAAGTTGAGAAAGATGAGAATTATATATTTTATAATATTTTTGATTAAGTCCTCAATGTTTGTAAGATATTAGTAAACAACTTCGAAGTATTGTACTTTTACATTGTTTTCCACAAGAATCAATTGAACAAATAGTTTTGGATAATTACATTATATTTCTTAAATGTTTACTAATTTACGAAGTAAATACTAGTTAGACTAAAATAAAAATTGGTGTTAGAAAGTTCGACAAAAAATTATATATATGGTTGAACTATTGATTCCATTTAGTTCTCTATGATGACTAAAGAAATAATTTTTTACTACTAGAATTAATATGACAAAAAATTTATAAGTGATATTATCTTACAATTGCCAGTATATATATGTATATATTTTGCACAATGTCAAAATTACAAAGTCACGGAACCAAACAAACATATAAATATCGTCAAAGTAAGATGCAATTGTAAGTTTTTACATGTTGGCTTGAAGAGACGCGAATTTGCTTCGAATTGAGATACTAAAATAATTTATAAGATAAATTGTTTTTATTTACAAAAAATAACACAATATTATATGTTAGATATCATATTCAAAAACGTTATAAGATCTCAAAAAACATTTTTATATCTATTTTTGAGATTTTTTGTTTAGAATATGTTTTTTACCATTTATTGAAATATTTACACTTTATGGAGATTGTCTCTAAATTTAGTTTTTTTTTTTCTTATCCCATTAATGAAATTATTTAAAAACAAAAATAAAAATCTTAAATTAATCTTGATAAAAGGAAAATATATTGTTTAAAATATTTTTTAACATAATGTTTTTTAAATGTCCTATTCTGTTTTGGGTTAAAGCCTATATTAATTGACATATTCACAATTTAGTCCATATACTTTCTTTTGTTCTAAATATAAGATAACAAACAAAGAGTTTAGAAAAAAAATAAATAATAAAAAGTGATGCAAATCCGGCCACCGTCATTGTCTCCGTGACAAGCACCACCGTCTCCGAAGCTTCAATCTACTTAATGATGCAAAGCTTCCACCATTAGCAGCAGCAGCTGATTTTGTTGTTCTCGTCAGCTTTACCAACTGACGCCTCCGCTTCTCTTCTACCTTTAACGTCTTCTTCTCAAAGAGAGGCCGCCCTATCTAGTAATTGCAAACACATTTGGTATGTCATGAAGTTGTTGTTATCTGCCAGTCATTGATTGGTGTTAGAAAGCGGGCTCAAAAGTTTGAAACATGCATGTCTACAAAAGGTGTTCAAGATTAAACGTTGTGGTTGTGTTATCGAGATATGATCTTTGGAAAATCAAGAGACAGATCCAATTCCTATTACCGACTCATCTTCATCTTCTTACCATTACTTTTAGTGCGCTCCAAACGCTAGAGGTTTTGTTGCAATCATCAACAGAACATGATGATGATAAGAGATGCGTTTAAAGCTTTTCGGGGAGTCTTGGATGGAGCCAAAATCATCTATACCATTTCTCCTAAGCTTTTTGATGCAGTGGCGCAACGCTAAATCCTAATCTCATTTTCTGCAGTTTGGTTTATAGATAAACTAATTCACTTGATTAATAAAATTAATCAAAGATTTTTGTTGATAATTTGGGTTTAACTGGATAAAAGGGTTAAACCAGCAGCTGTCAACAGTAGGGAATAAACATATATCATCTCTATCTTTTATGTTTTCATAATAAGTATGAGCAGCCTCAATACTCATATTACATTTTCAATTTTCAACAAAATTGTTAATAGGAGAAGACGAGGAGGTATAAAACTATTCAACAACTGTTCAATAAAACAAAAACTAGGAAACAAATGGATTCAAGAAGTAAGGATGATAAGAGTTGAAAATTCTAACTATTATTATTATTATTATTTGATGAAGGACTTTGAATTTGATACATCTAACTATTGGCAAGTGGGGTTGGGAAAAAAAGAATAAGATAAGACAATAGGATTCGCTTGGGCCAGACCATATCCAAATGCAACGAATAGAGCAATATAGATATTAACGACACGTCACTACAACTATCAAATTCGTCAAAAATAAGAAAAAGAAGATCCGACCTGCCGGAATCGAACCAGCGACCTAAAGATTATCTGTTGTAAACAACTACAGTCTTCCGCTCTACCAACTGAGCTAAGGTCGGTTGTGATTATGCTTCAACATTTAATGTATATATATTATACCATAAAGTATTTGAAAACGTGGATTTTTTATTTATTTGAACACGTGGAAAATTTATGAAGGTGAAAGAGATATTTTTTGGTTTCAATGATTTGAAACATATGTGCATATGGAAAATTCAAGAAGGCCAAAGAGATATTTTTTGGATTTTGATGATTTTTCCAGCCATTAGAATTTAGAAACTATGTACATATACCAAAAAGACAACTCTTCTATAGTTGGACCGTGGACGGTGCCAAAGTGTAAAACAGATTGTCCACTTTCGTGTCAATAACACAATTATTTGAAAAAATTCCAATCAAACTTGTCATGGTTATGCAAGTCCAAAAGACCAAAAGGCCCTATCCTTTCTTTGTCTACATAAAGCTCACATGCATCTCTCTCTCTCGTTCATAGATATTAAGATCAACAAGAAGAAAGAATGGCAAAAGCTATGGAGGTTTGGCTGGGAGAGATGAAGAAGATGAGTGAGAAGATAAACACTAGAAATCCATTGATGCAAAGGAAGAACTCATCATCTGTTGTGTCCAAACAACAACAAGGATCAGAAGAAGAAAGAGGACTTATTAACCAAAAGATTAGAGAGAAAAATGAAGCTGTAACTATGTCTGAGCTCACTGTTTGTCTTCTCATGGACCGTTTTGTTCCTTGGTGATCTTTCCATACCCAACTACTTCTAAATCTCTTCTTTGGTGATGTGTATATATATCTAGAAACTACATGTATAGTAAGTCTATATATTAGATCTTGTTTGTGCAGACCAGGTTTTTTAGTTTCCTTGTAAACCTGTGAAAGTAATGTGTTTGGAAACATATTTTTATTACTTTAATCAATAGTGTTCAATTATTATTAACCGGGATTTATATGAAGATGGAACTTTCTATTCACTCTGTAATTAGGAACATTCGCATCATTCAGTAAGAAATAAAACAAGAAATGATTATAATTTTTCTAATAACATAGGAATTCTGAGGGAACCCAAAACTAAAATTTGATTGAAAGATTTTGAAGTGGCCAATCATGAATGAGATTGCTCGAAGATATCATCAATATGCAATACAGATAACGATTTTTTTTTTTTTTTTTTATTGATACCAAATGAGCTTTCGGCTTTTGGCCCAGACGGAAACAACGGTTACAAAAGGTTTGGGCTTTGGGCTTTTGATCCACATGACGATCATATAGTTCTTTCCTTCAACACAAAACACTTGAAGTGTATCTTATCAACTAAACTCTATTCCAGCAAAATTATTTCAAAATTAGATATATGGGAGAATTTTTACAGGCCATTCTAGATTTTCATTAACGCTGTGATTTATCCGTTAATAAGTACGATTAAGAGTAAAACGATGTCGTTTGCAATTGAAACAAAAATCCCCAATTCAGAAATAAGAAACCCTAGATCCTCAAATCTCTTCTTCTTTTCTTCTTCGAATTCACTCCTGTATTTTGAAATCAAAGTGAATTACAAGGCACAAAGTTCATGCTTTAAAGCACTGCAAATGGCGAAGTCATGATTTATATGGCATTTTTCCTGTTTTTGTTTCAATTGCAAACGACGTCGTTTTGCTCTTAAACGGTCTCATTAACGGATAAATCACATCTTCTAATTGCTCTGTTTATTCAGTTGATGTTGTGACTAATTTGGCTCTGTCAACGAAAGTTAGTGATTTTATCTGAAGTCAACACGTAATTGATGATTTTAATTACAAAGTACAAAGTTTATGTTTAAAGCACCGCAAATTGCGAAGTCGTGATTTAAATGACATTTTTCCCGTTCTGGTTAAACTAAGTTTCTATTATTTAATATGGATATTGTGGAGCGTAGTGTCAGCATTCAGCAGCTTATTTAACGTGATGCTCTTTAACCGAGTAACAACTAGTGAGGCCGTATTCAGGACCGATCCAACAATATTGAGGGTTTTACTCCAAGTAAAATTTTAGTTTTATTTTTAATTATCATAAACGACATAAATATAATATGGAAAGATCACAAATACTGATTAAAAACTAAAATCATCAAAACGAAAAAGAAAAAAGAAAAAATTGGGTTCAACTCTCATGAGTTATTAAACATTTTAGGTTTTAGGCTTAAATCTTAAAAAAAAATCAGAACTGAAAAACGAAAAATTCTAATTTTATTTTGGACTCTGATTCATAGCTTATGTCGCTTATGTAGTTATGCTAGGGATGAATCTGTATTTCGTTACCGTAATGAGAGTTCGATACTCTCTTACTTGTTACGATTCTGGAGCATGTTACATTTTTTTCTTTCCGTCAACAACAACTTTAGTATGGTAAAACAAAATTTATTTTTATTTGGCTGGTCCTACTCAAGACAAATCTTCTGCCGACATCACATAATCATATTAAAAACCATAACTTCTGCCACTCTGTTTTTTTTTTTTTTTTTGTAACCATTAACTGATTGGATTTTGATCCATCTCATCTGATTTTTTAGCTCAACAATTTACTTGCACATTTTCTATTTGGTTTTATTTATACTTAGTTACACATATGATTATCGAACTAGTATCTCTTTATAATTAAGTATTTTTCTATTTTTTTTTAATTTAGTTTTTTGTGAATTCATTTACAGTAGAAAACTGTAAAACCATATGGTCTAATTATAGAATGAAAACTTCAACGAATCCATACAACTTATTGGCTAAATATAATAAATCTGCTTGAAGCATATTGTTATTATTTAGTTGGATTTGACGATCTCTGACTTTAATGTATACCGACATACCCTATGATTTAGATGTTGATTTTTCCCATTCTTAATATATCCATGTTAAGAGATTCCACCATAACATATCTAATTATTTGCATTGTAATAAATATAATCATTAAAAATAAATACAACTGGACAGCTGGCTCGTCCCATTGTTTCTTACGTCCACCAATTACATTTGTTAAAGCAAACTTATTAGAACGTTCATGTGTGAGAAGTTGGTGTCGACATGTGTCTAAGGTCTATGTCAGAAATCGGATTAGCTTATTAAGTAAACTATACTATATCATTGTTAATATAGATAAAATATCTAGTTCGTCCAAATTAAACTATTTTCATAACTGCCACGTGGCGTAAACGTATCCATCGAGTCACTTGTAATATCTTTATAATCAAAGTCTTCCAACACATTCATCACCATCTATCTACTCTTTACTCTCTTCTCTTCTCACATCAATTATTCATAGTTCTCTCTTCTCCGGCAAGAAAAGATGCCTATGAAGTCGTTGAGGAATGACCATGGAACCCTTAAGGCCATGATCGGATCCGATTTCAACGAGCTCACTATCGCTGCTAAGAACCTAGCTACACACGCCTTCACACTCACTGGTTTAGGCTTTGGTACCTCTGTCCTCGAATGGGTTGCTTCAATCGCCGCCATGTAACCATTCTCTCTGTTTCTATGTCTCTTTCCTCTATCCGTTTCTTGTGTTGATCTTGATGAGGTTTTGATGTAATAAATGCAGATACTTGTTGGTGTTGGATCGAACCAATTGGAAGACGAATATGCTCACATCACTTCTCATTCCTTACATCTTCTTCAGTCTTCCTTCCTTGATCTTTGGTATTTTCAGGTATAACACAACAAAAGCCAGAGACTTTTTCTTTACTTATCATTATGTTCCTAAACCCTAACTTGTGTCTGAAACTTTGACAGAGGAGAAATTGGTAAATGGATTGCTTTCGTAGCTGTTGTTGTACAACTCTTCTTTCCTAAACACGCCAGAGGTTTGTCTACTTTTTTTCATTCACTCTCCATTACAAACAACAAGACTTTGATTCTGATTTGGCTTATCTCTGTTGTTTGTGTTATTAGAATACCTGGAATTACCGGTGGCTTTGGTTCTTCTCGCCGTGGTGGCACCAAATTTGATTGCTGGCACATTCAGAGACAGTTGGATTGGTTTAGCTATATGTTTAGGTATTGGATGTTACTTGCTTCAAGAACACATTAGAGCTTCAGGTGGATTCAGAAATGCATTTACTAAAGCCAATGGTATCTCCAACACCGTCGGGATCATCTGTCTCGTCGTCTTCCCCGTCTGGGCTCTTATCTTTTAAGTTAACTCTTCAGTTTCTTTTTCCATTTGTCTTTTTTTTCATGTAAGAGTGATTGCTTTGTACGATCTGTCTCTCCTCGTAACTCTATCAATGAATGTGATTTGAATAAGAATTGCTTCAGCAATAAGATATCATCATGAGGTGTTAGTGTGGAATAAATCTCCTCTTTCATCATTATAGCTTTAATGGGTAACGTTGTATCATCTTACAATGTGTACCACTTCTTACCGCTTTCTCGTACCACCACAAAACTTGTCCACATTGTGTCACCAATTGGTTTCTATGTGGTTTTGTCATCTTTGCTTCACCAGCTTACCAACGAAGCTCAACTTTTCTAGCTTTCTTCTTCTGCTCTTAGCTTGAGTGATTCAGCCATTTCTATGGCCAACAATGCTGATGTTTCCTCATCACCTACTATTCCATACCCGTCGATAAAAGCTCTATACGTCTCTTGACTCGGCTTAAATCCTTTCCCAACCATCTCAGCCTGAATGTTCAATGCTCTATCCATCTTCCCATCTTCACACAACCTCTTTACCAACAACTCATAACAATTCCGACTAGGATAAAACTCTGCTTCTCTCACCGCATCCTTCACGATATCCGCAGCTTCAACAACTCTCTGTCCATCCCTATCATCACATAGCCCTTCAACTAACGCTTCAATTGTTAAACCATCTGCCTCAAAACCTTTCCTTTTCATCTCCCTATAAACAACCAAACCCGAATCAACATCCCCCGCTTTACAATACCCGTTAACAAGATGCTCATACGTCAAACAAGTACACTCAATCCCCTTCAACCCCATATCTCGAAAAAGCTCCTTCGCTTTCACAACTTCAAAGTTACTACAAAGCCCACCAATCATAGTGTTATAAGCCACA